AACTGATTCTATTTAAACTACATATCTAAATCTCAATACCTCTTGCAAAGTCTTTTTAAACAAGCACAATTTAAATAAAAAAACTTGAAATAATTATCTTTAAAATTTTGATTTTATAAAGCAATTCATAGGGAAACATTGATAGCTTTGGGTCAATCTTTAATTAATCTTTTGAAATACTCCAAGTGAAAGAGAAAAACACTTTTAATAATTATTAAGTGGATACGCAATACCGGTGTTGGGGGAGGGTGAAGTTACACCAATAATGTACTCGACGAATTATTGAACTCAATTTACTCGAAAATGAAAGCTCAAACGAAAAAAATTTATTACGTTTTTTTGGCTTATGTTTGCTCATAGAATCATCCTTTGCCCGGTTATGCTAACCGACGTGAGACACCCTGTATAATACCAAATGCAGGAATATATTGAAAATCTGTCTCTCCATCATCACAGAAGCAAAAATTTGGATTTCGTAAGAGCATCGAGAAAGAAGAAAACGAACCGATGAAGGAAAGATTGTAATGGTGCTAACAGATCCTTGGCACGACCCGTAAGATGAAAACCAAAAGGGACAGGCGGTACGAGGCAAAGTGGTCGCGAAAAGCAAGAGCAGAGAGAAGTTACTCTTGTAATTATGCTGCAGACGAATGCCAGAACATTCGTCACTTCCAATGTATTTAATGTGTGTGCGTTAAATACCCGCGACAGGCACGCTAGCCGTACCCGACAAACAGTCACGCTAACAAATTAACGCTGATGCGTTAAATGTTCGCGCCGAGTGCCAAGCCGGAAGATCGTGCCTGTTTCCTCTTCAAGTGGACGAGATCGGACGAGATGTGCTTTGATCTCTTTGAGCATCTCTGTAAAATCTCTTCCCTCTCGTTAAAACGTGATTAACACGTACGAAATCACGGCTCACCGAATGCGTCTTATCTTATCTGTGCGATGTAACTAACGAGGCACTGTATACATTTTTATACAATATGTACCTATGTACCTACTACTGCAAAATGGGGTAAATAAAAACAGCCATTTAATTTAACACGAATTTCTTTTCAATGCGAATAAATAAATATTAAGCCTGTATTTATTTTGAAGAAAAAATAATTTTTTTTTAAAGTCAAGAACGTAACCCTTTTCCAAAAAAACTTTTATTTTAATTAAAAGTTAATCTAACATCTAACTATAATTGTTATTATTAAATATAAATTTTTGTTCTGGAATATAGAAGTTAATCTATATTCGAAGATCTATATAAGAAGTTTGCGACGACAGAAACTAAAAGTCAGCGAAACAATAAATTAATAACGTTCTGACTAATCAAATGGCCAAATCGTAATTGTGAATAATCGATAGGAAAAAAAAATCCGTTGAAAAATACATATCTATGATTTTCAAGAAGAGCAATAGACACGAGACCAATTCAACTTTGTATTTACGTTCCACGAACGTGCAAAAACAAATTGGCCGGCGTCTACGCCCCTGAGTCTGTTACATTAATAATAATATCAGGGGCGAATTTAGAAACTTTGCTTGGTGGGAGAGGGGGCACGAAATATGTAAACGTGTATTTTTTAATCTTATTTTTCACGATTTTAAATTTGTCTTTTTCAATCTGCACTATCTCAAGGTGGTTATACAAGTTTATAATCTACCAAAAATCTTCAATACTGCGTAAGTTTTAAAACTGTCCCAACGAAAGATTATGAAACGAAGTTAAACGAGAAGGTTGACTGAGAGAAAACAAGAAAATAATATATTTGCATGCGTATACATGCTTATGCAGTCGTATTACGAATGCATTGACGACACAAAAAGAAAATACTCGTATATCTTGTAAGAAGAATCGCCAAATTTGGTCAGATCGATCGGGTACGAAGTTCAATAAAAACAAAGATGTATCAGGCAAAATGAAAATATCGTGATCAATAAATGTCACGAGTTTTCACTTTCGATCTATAAAAGAAAATAATGGCTCGATGAACGAGGAACGTACTTCTAGAGGTTAGACGGGAGAGAAAACTTTATCACGGTTAATCCGGCACGAAATAAGTATCGCGTTACAGTTTCGGGCTAAATAGCTTCTTCAGTTTCGCAAGTTTCTCATCTAAAATACACTTGCGGTGTTCTTAAGCTTATAGAATATGATTTATAAATAATTTTGTAAAAGCTTTTCCTCAAATGTTTCACTTTGTATAGAATGCATCTATTTTCAGAACTATTTATAATAATAGGCTTTGGTACACATTAATGTTTTTTATTTATAAATTTATAAAGAAATTTATTTCGTTAACCCTCGGACAGTGGACCATGGAGAGAACCCCAATTGTAATGTAATTCTATATTTAATATTATTTTTATTTTTTCATTTGACACAGTTCCTTTACAAATTATTCTTTCAATATATGACATTTTTTCGTTTAAAAATTATATATTTAACTTTTGGTTAATATCATTGTATATATTTTGTAAGTTTAGGTTATGATTGACCCCAAGTACGCTATCCAAGAGTTAAAACAATTAAGCAAAATATACTGAAAACGTATGAGTTTTTTGTATATTGCATATAAATATGTACACAAGTAAAAAATCATAATCCTCAAATAAATCAATATTAAAAAATAAATAATACTTTCTGGTTTATGTTCATGCATTTACTTACGTATGTTGTTTTATCCGATTCAAAAAGATGGCGGACAAAATTAAATGGCGGACAAAATTAAATGGCGGACAAAATTAAATGGCGGACAAAATTAAATGGCTGACAAAATTAAATGGCGTCGATGACGCACATATCAGTTCCGGAAGTGAGAATATTTCAGAGATTTTAAAATGATTTCCACTTTTTTCAATGGAAAATAATAAGATAAATTAAAAACAAGCTTAAAAAACATACAATTACATTTGGAGAAACGAAATTAACCTTAAAATCTTTCGAATGCTTCCACTTGCAGAACCGACACATGTAACACGTGATGTTCTATTTAACATCATTTAGTTTTTTGTAATGAAATTTTTTCTATTCTCAACCATTTTAAAGTTATACTTTGGCCCAGTTGCATGAAATACGTTATATTATGATGTTAAGTTTCATATCGCGCCATCAACGTTGATCGATATTGCACGACAATCGAAGCGTAACGGTCTTTTTATGATATTGACTACTTAACATCAAAACATACGTAGAATTATGTCATATTAAACCGTAATTATTAAAATATTTCTTGTAAATCAATACTGATGAAACTATTTCGATTTTTAATATTCAAAATATGATTCGTGATCTTATTCCCAATTTGACCTTGAAGTCTAGCGTAAATTTGAAAATTCACTAACCTATTTTATTTATCGATAATCTACATAAGAACTTGTCACAGATTTTCGTTTGTTTAAAAAAGAAACACAAATCAGTGTTCCAATGACTCTGATTACTTTTTAAAACTTGAATCATCTTTGATCTTTATTATGACGCAGTAGAATAACGACAACCTTGTCATGTATAAACTATAGAACTAATGATAAATCTTTACACGTCTTACTTACTCTAATAATATAAAAAAGACTCACCTGATTATAGCAGCATCTTATGCTAATTTATACCACGCAGAGGACCTCGTGTTGTCAGTTGTCGCTGATATGTTTAAATTTCCTTGAACACACACGCACGCACCTACCCACGCACTTGTCACGATATGTATGAATTGCAGTTTAACGAAAATTTGGACCACGATGGAACGCGATAAAGGACGGTTCGCGGTCAAGAATAAGTAAAAACGAGAGTGACGGAACCGGTGGGAAGCACAAAAGAGGTGAGCGGCGAACTGCGTGGTAAGCAGCCACCCTCACGGTAGGCGCGCGAGTCTACGACTGAACCTACTGGATTCGTTACCGGTGACGTGCGCCGACATGATCACTCGGGCCTACTCGTCCTTTACCGAACACCATACACGACGCTTTCGATCGGGATCCTTTTGAATTTACACTTTCATTTATTTTCCCTCTTGTATTCTGAAAAATACATTTAAAATAAATTATATAAAAATATATTCGTTAAATCAAAATCAAAATTATTTGTAAAAAATGCAACTACTCATCGTTATCTTACTTCATTTATCGATAGTATTGCAAATCCATAAAAGTGCGGGAAATTGTTCAAATTTAAAATAGTACAATGATAAAACATAATTTTGAAAACACCGAATTAATTACAAAATACTATTTACAAATGGAATTAATAATGTTTTAGGACAATTACAAAACAACATTTCTTAAAAGCATTTGTAACTTGTCTTTTACTGAATTTTTCGACAGAAATAAATTGAGTACAATTTTTAGCCAGGTATAAATGCGCGTATATATTTAACACGCTTACATCAAAGACAGTTAAAAGAGAATTAAAATGAATGTAGATAGAAAAAAAATAGCAAGGAATATGGATGAAGGATTTACGGTATATGTATGTAAATACATGTACAAGTATATAATAATATAAATAGTAAATAGGTTTCAATATTTGGCGTAAATCACTTTTAAATTTCTATATAACTTATAGTAATACCATGTATACAATTACAAATTAATTGTGCTTACAATAGAAAAAGTATAATTATCATCTATTTTATATACGATTTGAATCTACTGTGAAATTTTATGATAAATTAATATTTCACGTGTAAATTACGAATTACGAAAGTGTTTAGCGATGATAAATAATATTTTACGAATCTCTTACTTATGTATATATGTACACAATTATAGTAATGATATCATTAAAAAATATGGAAATTACAGTTACAGGGTAACCACAAAAGTACTTTCAAGCGACAAAGGGAGAAAGACGCGCAAGAAGTGTACAACACACAATTTCTACAAAAATATGAAAAGCGTTTATGTGTTGAATCAATTCTTTGTTCGTCAATTCAACATTACGTTTCCCTAAAAGTTATCTGATCTACTTTTATTGCTCTTACAATACCGCCAGTAATATTTTATAAAAATATTTATTCTTGCATTAGTCAAATTGCTTTTGAGCAAGCATATGCAACAAGTTAAGCAAATACCTATAATCGTTCGCACTGTCGCCCTCTGTCACTTGTCTCAAGGACCTCTGGCATCATTAATACAGTTTTCATCTCGTACCTACGATTTTGTCTCTCTATTTTGCTTACGTCTCATTGAAAACGAAGCAATAACTACAATTTAGTTTAATTCGACACTTGTACTACGTACAGTAATAGAATATCGAGTATAAAATAAACTACTTAAATGCATTTGGCATGTCTCGTTTATGTGTGAAGCTCATTTGTTCTAATCTGAATTATTGATTAACATCAATGTCTGGATAGATCTATGAACAAATGACGTCACTTCCTTGGTTAAATTGATTTTGCACTTAGATTAAAATAATTATTACAACTTTGGAGTTTTCTTGCAGGGAAGTCCCACGCTGATGATTATCAATGTATAAATACAACTACTTATGTATATTTATTTTGTCCTACCGGGTGTTAATGTTGAATTTACAATGTCAGATCTGATGTGAACACACTGCTTATTTGTTCTGCTTCTACTGGCAACTGTTGTATTATCTACAATTGATCTGCGATTTTTTACATTTTTCTTTTCATCTAATTCTGAAACATCATCTTTTTGTCTATTCACATCTGATAATTTTCCATTACTTTGTTGATCACCTTTGCACATACCTTTACCGATCTTTGTTTCACTTTCATAATTCTTTCTTAAAGGCTGTGGAGTATAATATAAACTGAATCTTTTCGGTTTTGAGCTTTGTTTCTGTTTTTCATCCCGTAATTCATCAGTGGAACTGAATTTTCTGCCTACTCTAGTAGTAACAGAAGTCAATTTGTCGCTCACTAAAACAGATTCAGAATCTTTCTTTGCGGAACAAGATGAAAAGCAGCTAAATCTTTTATTTCTTGCTGCTGCATCAATTTTTGGTGTGCATTTTTCTCGCCTGAATTTCACAGCTTCGTTCTTCACAAATTTTGATTCATCTCCTGTTCTTGGACTATTCTTCCTACTACTCAAAACATGTATTTTAGAAGGTTTTGATGCATTTACTTTTAAAGTAGTTGAAGTTTGCAATATTTTTGTTGCCGACTTTTCTTGATTTGTTAAAGGGAAATTTTCTATGTAGTTCAATTTCAATAATTCATTTTCACAACCGTTTTCATTTGGATCATACATGTTACGAGTTTTCAGTTCTTGATTATAAGAAAAGCAAACGTTTTCAAAGCTATCTGTTGACTCCATACTTTGCGTGGAACTCGATCTTTGATCCTGTGTTAATTGTGCAAATTGAATATTTACAAAACTATCTGACGTTTCAATGTCGTTACTCGAACTGCCAGTTAAACTATCGGTTGAAGAAAAAACTGTATTGCAATTCTTCATATCATCATTCTCGAGTTTTGAAGACATTTTGTCTGGAAATATTGCATTTTGATATAATGCATGTTTTCTTCTATATTTCTGTCTATTTGTCCCAGAATTAACAGATTTGGGTGTTTCAAACACGTGTACATTGCTATTAATCGATATATTTGGAGCAATAGGTGAAGTACAATTAATGTCACTAGAGAAATTCTTATTTCTCCTTTCGAAGAAGGATGCATTTTCTTCGACCGGGTTGCTTTCACAACCCGTACTAATTTTAATTGAAGGAACATTCTGATAACTACTTATTAACACTGAATTATCCATCTGCACTGCTAAATTAGCGTTTTCATGAATACTGCTTAAAGATGAGGTTTTACTATGTGATGATTTTAAACACTGTTGATGAACTTGGTTTTCATTTAAATTACTTATAAGATTATTCATAGAGTGACTGAGATCCTGGATATCTTGTAAACAATCTGCACTAAGCGACACAGGTTCTTCGTCACTACGATTTCCATTATTAAGATCATTTTCGTTAGAACTTGATTTTTCTTGTTTCTGATCTGCATCGTGTAACAAGTCAATATTTTCTGATTCCATTGTTGATAAGGCTTCAATCCATTTGTTTTTAATACTTGGTTTGTTATCAGGTCCACTATCAACTTCATCCTGTGAACTGCTACTCTCAACTGGATTCTTGTAGTCAAATTCAAAGGTTGCTAATCTTATCGGCTTACGCTGCTGATCCCAGTATTGCTCCGGCGGGTTGGTAGGTGTTGTTGCTGTGCTCTGCTCGCCTCCTAGAAAGCTCTGTTGATATACAGAGGCGGGACAAAAGAAAAAAAGAAGCATGTCTACAGATACAGCAAAACACTACAGAAGCTTTCCTAGCATTGTATTTAAAAAGCAAGGGCAAAGCTGTATAATACGTGAGCGGTGGCAGTGTACTTTAACTATTTTCATAATAAAGAATGACAATCGATAAGCAAATAGATAAGAAAATACGTATAACCAAAATACAATACCTCTATGAAATTAAAAGAAGAAATTCACTATAGGCTTACTATGCAAATTTTTTATTTATTTTCAATTAAAAGAAAATACTAAATAAATATAGATAAGCCATGCGGGAAAATTTAAAAGAGGTCTTCTATCAACAATGAACATATAATGACAGTTACCGCGAGCCATGGATGATCGAGTACATCTTCTGCACTGAATCTTAATTCTGGTTGAGCTTGGAGCATGTTTGAGATCAACTGTTTAGCAGAGTCTGACACGTTATCCCAATATGGAGGTGTGAATTCATACTGACCGCTTAAAATACGTTCAAATAATTCTTCTTGTTCATTTTCAGGTGAAACAAATGGTGGAAAACCACAGAGTAAAATGTATAATATTACACCAGCTGCCCATACGTCGATCTGAAATAATTTAATTGAAAATTAATTTTTTTATTTTATTTTTTAAACTTTAATTATTAAATTAACAATTCAAGAAGTCGATGTACTTTTAAACCGTATCCAGTTTCTGCAAGAATTTCTGGTGCCACGTATGTAGGTGTACCACAAACTGTGTACAAGGGTTCTCTTACAACTTGAGCAAGCCCAAAGTCACCTAACTTTAAACATCTAACGTGACTTCCATCCATTTCTACCAGAAGATTCTCAGGCTTAACATCGCGGTGTACAATATGATGTGAATGCAAGTAAGCTAATGCAGATGTTAGGTGTCCAATCATTACACAAGCTTCCAATTCTGAGAATTTTGTGGCTGCAGCAATTGCATCAAACAAATCTCCACCCTTAAGTAACATAAACATATAATATTTTTATTATTTACTTTAAATTTACGACATTTAAAATATAAAATGTTGTTATGTAAACATACTTTTACAAGTTCCATAACTAAAAACAGTTGATCAGTTGTCTCTTGTTCAGCAACCAAACTAATAATATTCGGATGACAAACTTGTCGTAAAATTGCGACTTCACTTGCTAACATTGTTTCTTTACCTTGACATTTATACTTATCTACAATTTTCATCGCGTATTCTGCACCTGTAGATCTACAAAATATTGGTATTAAATTTTCTACAATTCTTTGAACTTATGAACATTTAATTATTTAAAGCACTCACTTATGAATGCAATGTCTAACAACAGCAAAATTGCCATCTCCAATTACATGACCAACTGCATAGTGTAAACGGAGCGGTTGTGGCAACATCAATGAAGAAGGACTAGGTGTCCGGACTTGTGGTGTAGTAAGTACTTTTTTTCCAGATTTACGCGGCATTTTAGGCATGGGACCGCTCTGCCTTTTTGATATCCACGGACATCTTTTAAAGCTCTGAACACTTTTAGATTCTTCGAAATCTAATTCAAAATCTTCTTGACTTGACTTTTCAGAACCATAAGCAATAAAGATGTCATCATTTTCAAAAAACTGTTCCAAACAGGTAACCTGTTGCCCTGAGAGGGTATAAACTTTTCTTACTGCTCCAGAATCTAATTTAACTGCCTCTGTGATTGCTTCCATTGCATGTTCTAAACTTGGTGCATTTCTTTTATTTAATAGAAGCCGTACAACTTTACGAGGTTTTGTACCATGGCGAATTAAAGTAATTATTCTAGCTTTTACACATAATGGTATTGCACTTATTTGTCTACCAGTACTAACTGGAAATTGTGGTAGTCCAGTTAATGAACTGCCTCTTTTTACTTTTGTGGATGAATATTCTACTTTCTTAAATATTTCTCCTTGTCCAGATACAACATAACATTTACCATCCTCCAAGTCATTGATGTTTTGAACCCTTTTTCCATCCATAGTATAAATTGCTCTAACTCCATTAGGTAAAGTAACACTGGATATTAAAGCTCTTGTTAAATCTGAAGCTAAACTATCAAAACTGCGATATCTCTCTGCAGTCACAGCCATCACAATGCCAGTATAAAACTTATCTCCATTTCTATAAAACCTCACTCTTTTTGCTTTTTTGGTAGGTGGTGTTCTGAGAACATTCAAAGAATGTCGTGTACTAATATCCAATATTCTTTCATCCAAACTCACTATAGTAGGTGAATTTATTTCTTCACTTCCAGAAAAATTGCTATCACCAGATGGTGAAGCACCTTGACTCAATGGTTCTTCCATCATCCTGAATGAAAAATAGTATTTCATGTATTCAATTAGGTCAAGTATGACAAATTAAGAGAAACAGATATAAACACAATTATTTGCTCTCAATCAGAAGTTTGGTACAATGAATTACAGATACAGATTAAATATAAAGAACGCAATAAAATTTTCTCAATTTCGGTTAAACATTCGAAAATTCGTTAACGTAACTGTAGCGCAACAAAATATTTATTTGCCTTCCTAACCTATTTAACCTTCTCTAATCCCATTCATATGTATACAAATAAAATACATAAACAAACAGTAGTAAACAAAGTCATTTGTTAGCAATATAAGTTTATTAACGGTTAATAAGTTTATAAACATTTACCTACTCAGTAAGCAGAATGTGCTTCTAAAAAACAGATGAAAAGCCAAGTAATGAACGAATGAATCACCACAGAGCTGACATTTTCATAGCAACCATGACGCAAATACTAGATAATAAAAGCGAGTACTCTCGCTTTCGAATTGCACTAATATAATTTCCCTTTCTATACTTCTAATTCGCATACAATGATTTACGTTTCTATCGCAACACACTAATTTTTGTTTTCTATGCACAGAATAGTTTGACCTGCCAAACTCTATAAATAAAGTGGCTTGTCAAAGAGAAACCGGGAGACCAGAACCGGAAGTAGAAACAAATTAGAAGGGTGGGACAAAAAACCAAACGCTTAGCGGGTTACTTCCTACAAATTTAATCAAGATTAATTAATACCCATTTACGCCTATTACTTTATTATTACAATGAACGGTTCAATTTGAATATTCCATTGCGCATTATAAATCGTTATAATGAAATATTTTCGTAAATTCCATTTATGGAATATATTAACAGATGAAACTTTTCTGAGATTAACGAAGATTATGAGTTACTATGTGTAACCAATAGTCTAATTAAAACAATCCAAGGTTATAGAGAAATATGCATGTAATTCAATTAACTTATTTTTGCAAGATTTTAAAGTTTCTAAACTATTTTTTAAATTACCCAAAATTTGAAAATCGATCGGTAAGATATAACAACTACATATCTATGTACAACGATAGAGGGCAATGTAATGATTAATAGTCATTTTAGTTGTTTGTCTTGATTGCTTATATTCTTCAGTTTACGTGTTTTAATCGTGAAATGTAAATATATTTAATAATTAGTACTACAGACATGGAAAAGATACTTCAATTAAAATTATAGTAGCATGTAGTGTATAAAATATTGTAAAAAAATTAAATTCTTCAAGTCCTCTGGTAGCCGTGATCGTCTAGTGGTTAGGACCCTACGTTGTGGCCGTAGTAACCCAGGTTCGAATCCTGGTCACGGCAATGTCTGGCAAAATGACATTGTCACGGTAGAGGGATTTTTTTTTCACGTCTTACTTTTTTGTGTACAATAATTACATTCATTACAATTTGTATCTAAAAATGAAAGTATTAGATTTTAATCGACTACTTGTAATATTCTTTATAGATGGAAACTTTTCATCTCGATTTAGTATCTTTATTGTTTTGTGTATCGCGTAATTCACAAGTACACGTAAGTAACGTCTTCACATTAATGTGATATACCCAATTTTTAAATGACTGGCAGGTATTGTCGTGAAAAACAAAATCCTACAATAAACATTTTCGGTTTTAAACGCCTTCTTTGAAGATATGCAGTATACCTGGAGGGCAATCTGTTGATTCGTACCTGGCGCTACGATCGAGAAAGAGATAGCTTTAGAAGCGATCCAGCCAGTGCCGTAGCACAGCAGTGCCGAAGCAAAGGTGGTTCGAGTGGGTGGGGGACAGTTCACAATAGCGAGCGACGTTCTCCAGAGAAGCCGCAGTCTCGCTCGGTGTGTGTGTATCGGCGGTCGTAGTCGCGCGGGCGGATGTGTCACGGTGAAGGAAGCAAACAGTCATTTTACAGTGTGTGGAAAGCAAAAGCGTGTATTTTTCCTGGTTGAAACGTAAAGCAAGAGAAACGGTGACGTGCGGTGATCGAGGATGTCTCATCGCGAGTGAACGGGCAACGAGAGACGCCGTAAGTGCGCGGGTGTCCTTTAGTTCAACTCTGTAGATCTCAAGACCGGTGGACGAAAATGCGGGCGCGATACGTCGTGGCAGGTGAGTAAGACCCAGGACATGTTCGCCATTCGTGCGGCGTTCTTGGATCGTGATTTCCTCCGCCAGCGCCACAGGCCCCGAGATCCTTTCGCGATCCACGATCCAAGACGCAAGCGCGAATCCTTTCTTAGGTTAGTTAAATTGTCATCGATCAGTATCAATGTGCGTAATGCATTGATTCTCGATCAAAATTATTTTCAAAATCTATCCGTGACGCGTAATCCACGCTGCATCGCAGTTTGAATTTATACGTGGATCGTTGCAAACGAACCGAGAAGCGTCGAATCAGTGGTGACAGGTGGGGATGCCGCCCTGCCAAACCGTTCCGCACACCTGATCGTGTCTACCTGAAGTACTGTTATATCTCCGTGTTATGCTAGGATAGAACTAAAATATACGTCGTTCTGCTTCATGGAATTCCGGGCATAACCTTGGCAGTCTTTCCGTTGACGTTACTAATTCCTTACCCGGTTTCTTGTATTTTCTGACTGTTCGTACGAGTTTTATCAGAAAAGAACGTTCGTACTAGTTGTACAGTACACTGTACGTTTCCGTCGAGTTTCTCTGTTGATACAAGTTCGTAGACCGTGAACAGTGGAACACACTGCGTAAAATAATGATTGCGCTCGATGTTGGTCCGTGTATAATACTGTTGAAGTCTCCGCCTCGAGCTATTCCACCAATTCTTGGCCCTCGAGCGTTAATTTTCATTCACGCTATTGTTTGACGTTACTGCACGGATAAAGGAATTGAACTTAGAATTGCATGAGTCTGATCGATAATGTCGGTGCAATGACCGACGTAGTTTCTTAACAACTGAAATACATACATAATCGTAAAAGGAAGTTTCATTCAATATCCTTTGACGAATAAAGTATTTCACGGAAAGTAAACACTTTATCGATTCCGATTTTTTTAAAGCTATAATGGTTATTAACCCTCGAACGTCGGACCATGTTCCATATTATTATAATTTTCTAAATTTTACACTGTTCCTTTAAAAATTATTCTTCGAAAGATTTTCAATATATAAAACTCTTCGTTTAAGAATTATAATATTCTTGTATATATTTTTTTAATTTGGGTCACGATTGACCCAGACTCAGCTGTTTAAGGACTAATCATAAATGATAATTAATTTGAAAAAAAGAAAGAATAAAAGTTTAAGAATAGAATATTGAAGAGGAGATTAATAATATAATGATTTTTAATATAAAAATTAATTAAGGACTAAGTTTTCTTTATTCACATTTTAGTAAAAATGCAAGGAGAAATGAACTTTTCTCATTTTGAAAAGTCACTTATTGCCGGTTAAAACGAATAAAACTTCGTTATTAATATAAAATTCAAGAGTTTTATGAAATATAATAAGTGTTCGAAGACTATCAAGCGGTATTGTACGTAATACTCGGACTCGCAAAGTAGACCAGCAGAAATATCGATCGTCTTAAATCTCATTGTGATATCTTGCATTGTTTCCCCTTTCGTTGTTTCCCTTACGCGTAAAAACGAACGCGTGCTCACCTGACGTAAAACTTTATTAGAATAACTCATCGCTATAGTTACTTTTGTTTGATACCTTCTCCTGGATGCGTAATTTCATTCGTGAAAGTCCATAAACCGCGTTCAGTCACGAGAAAGCAGTCGATTTTTACACGTCGTCTCACGTAATTGGTGGTATGACTCAAAAAGTTGAAAATAATTTTTTTTCATACATTCATTGGCGATATGCACGTTTCTATAGTACTTTCCTTATATTAAAAAATCTGTAAGAGCAAAATTCTACTAATGCTAATTAACTCTCCAACGACGGACCGTGAAGAGAGGCCCAATTCTAATATAATTCTTTGTACATGTTTTATAAGTTTGGGTCACGATTAACCCAGGCCTCCCTGTTCGAGGGTTAATCAAAGTGATTCTCCGAGATTAGCAAGACCCATTAGCGATGCTTTTTGCGCGTAAGAGCCGTCCGAATATTACGTGGTAAGAATTTCTTGGCGAAAATCCACGCCGAGAAATTGCAGCGCGTTGCGTGCGAGCGAAACGGTCGACGCACGAGTTTCTGCGCAAAGGGAAATGCATACATACATATTTCGGCTGGTCGTCTAGCGCAGGTGGAAGCCACGTCGGTGCATTAACGTTGGTCCCTCGCTTCACGCTCAGGTGCGCGCCTTGAACGACACATGCACCGCTCAACAGATGCGAGAACCCAGGGGAACAGAGGGGATTCCTCAGTTCTTCGTTTTATACCTGCTAGACGCTGCCAGGCTTAATCATTTTTCCTTTCTCCTTATCGTCAGCGAAAAAAGAGTCGACCAGATTCCGTAACAGGTGCCTCGTTTTATCCGACGTGCATGAAATTTTACCGCGACCAAAGACTCCGCTTTCCGACTGCTCGGATTTTAATTTAGCTCCAATTTCTTCACGTTTAAACGTGCAGCGAATTGTACAAGCAGCTATTCAAAATCCTCTTAATTATCAGTTAAGCGTTAATGATACTTTTTTAAAAGAAATGTTATTAGGTGCTAATTAACAATTATATATATGTACGGTATTCAGAACTATCGGGTGAATATTGTTGGTGATCATTTGTTGCTATTTAATTTTATCTATTGAAATTTTTGTTCACCTTCGTTACAAAGCTATAGTTTGGTCAGGTTGCATGAAACACCCTGTACACTGATATGAAATTATTGTCGTAAAACATTTTGTAACAGATGTGTGATACAATTATTCTCCAAAAATAATTTGAGTTTCTGTTAAAAATAAATTCCAAGATGTTTTCAAATCGATATTAATCAGGTACAATAATATAATGTGGAGATGAGAAATATCTTAAATAAATGTGGTTATAAATCATCATCGCTATAAGCGAAAAAAACAACGAATTTCATTTATGATAATGTGGTTAGTCTGACGTTGTACAAAGAGTAGAGTACGTAATTTTTTATATAATTATTCAAGAATGTGTTAATTTCTTTTTTATTTAGATTCGTATTTTTTTACAATCTTAAACTCTGGTCATAGTTTTTTCATACTTATTTCAACCAAGATATTTTATAATAATTTCAGCTACTCGATTCATGGACGCGAACGTTTGATTCCTTCGTTAGCATTAGGTGTTTTCGTCGAGCGTGCAAACGCGGACATTCCAGAAGATTGCAGTTTTTCAGAACCATCGAGGTGCGACGAACGTAAAACGAACGCAACTCTTCGATCGTTTTATTTGGTCGCGACGTTCGTTTTATACACACCTATACCGTTTCGTCGCTAACAATTGCTGTATACACCAAATAACAAACTGACTGCGCTATTATTCATTCGAACGCTTCTGCCGATATAAATTTCATGTTTCGCTTCGATCACTTACACGATTCTTATTTGTACAGCTTTCGCATTATGCACCCATCATTTATATACCACATTTCTGTATTTTCATTTTCGTTCTCGTATTTTCATATTCCATATTCTTATCTTTCTTTTTGAATATTTCCTATGGAATTCTTCCTTCGCGAATATTGAATTTTTCCCATGCCATTTAATACGTTCGACGATGGGTAGCGCACTTTGCTGCATCATGCATTATTTATTCGATGCAACTGACGACGCACCGCGTGCGTCTCGCATATGGAAGTTAACTGATCACGTACCACGTGAGTCTTGCAGTATGTATTCAGGCACTTATCGTTAGAATCGAAATATAATATTAGGAATAAAGAAGAAAAGGAAAAGAAAAGATAGAATAAAATCTATTCTAATATCGTAAAGTTTATTTAGAATAATAAGAAAGTCTGACTAGCTAATTAGGAAAAAAGGTTTTAAAAATAGAATCGTTTTATAATAGAACGACCGAGTTAAAAAAAGATTCTAATATAAGGTTACTGACTCTCATAATATTACTACTTTGTTTCATATTGATTGTAATAATGATACCATTATTAGCACTAATGCAACACGTAGAATGTCGTAGAACCGTGCAATTACATTCCATTAACGGTAGGTTCGATTAACTTTCGTGTAACTGTATTGGCCATTACTTACCCGATTCTCGGTCTTCCTTATGTGCTTTTGTACGAGGTAAACCATTTCCTCGTTATTATTATACCCTAAACTGCTCTTATTATATCTTATTTCACGTTCCATTAACGTTACTGATATAGGTATTAGGAGAGAAATGATTCATCCTCAATGCAGCAATATATAGTATTAAAATTTTATAAATTTAAATTAAATTAATAACATAAATTTAAATTAATTGAAAGTAATTAAAGATTGTGTCAATGTTTGATCGAAAATTTATTATATTGTACAAGACAAGTAAAATATTCATTAGTTGTGAGATATCCAAATTCAATTGAGAATAGTGTGCCTAAATTTTGAAAATTAAATTAATATACTAATTAGCGAAAGGGGTTTCAATAAATACAATATTTTATTGACGATTTCAAGGTGAAGTATAAAAGATTATACACATAAATCTCAGAGTATACGTATATACTACATTTTTATTAGCAACGTTTATGATTAGAAACTCGTTTATCAACGTTTTTCACGTTGCCTCCTCAGCTCCGTGATTAATAGCCGCAGGTGACGCAAGTACTGATATTAAAACGCATTCTTTTTTGTCAAGTATGACAAAAATATCGTTGCAACGCGTCAACACTTTTAATAAATTGTTTCTCCATCCTCTTGTAGTAGGGCAAAATCTTACAAACATGACATAAATTATGGTGCCTTGTTTTTAAGTATATTTATGGTATTATTAAAAATTAATCATTCATTAATTTGAAGGAATTAGCTCTATTTGTAACTGTAAATGTTCTAATTTAACAGCTTGCATGAACATTTTATGCAGTCGTTTAAACGCCCTCTAAATTAAAAAAACCCCATCCTAAACGAAGGGTCTGGTTAATATCAGAATCAAGTGGTGGAAAATGCTTGAAGAGTGCTCGAGTTGGATGATAGGTTTTTCCTTCTCGTTTTCAAAAAATTCACAGGGT